GAGAGAGAGAGAGAGAGAGAGAAGCAGAAAGTGGGGGTAAGTGAATAGCTCAACGCAATGTGATTCCCACACTGGCACCTGCTGCTTCTTCCTCTCTCTCTGCATGGACTTGTGCATGTGTGCAAGTGATCTCTCTCTCCGTGCACACAGGGGAGAGAGAGAGAGAGAGAGAGAGAGAGAGAGAGAGAGAGAGAGAGAGAGACGCTGATGGGTCTGTCAGCCCAGATTTTCCATGAAGTGGATGGGGCGGCCCACCTACCCAAGAGAGCTTGTTTTATAAAACTGGTCAGGTAAGCTGGACCAGCCTCGGGCCTACTCTGGCCAATCTTACGTGGTCTGGTCCCGGCCTGAACAAAACTGCTCATGGAACCGTGGAACAAGCTTGCCGGCCAGAATTTTCTTTGCTTCCAAAACTCAGTCCCAAACAAATCTGATTGCAGGATTTTCTTTTGGCCATTAAAAACCTCCTGCCGGCATGTGACCACTGTTTCCCAATTAAGAATAGGAAACAAGACAGGGGGACTGCATTGAAGTGATTGCAGGTGGCACCACCATCCTCCAATGGTGACCGCAGCTGCATGGCTGAGTGGTACATGCATTTATGCCTGCTGATAGTAAGCAGATCACCAGTTCGAATCCTGCTAATTCAATGACGTTATGGGGATTTCCCAGTGGTGGATATTCGCTGCCCAGGGGGTGGTGGACGTCTTTGCGGTGGTAGAATGGGTAGCATCTATTTTGGACGAGTATAAATTGCGGTCATATTAATGGGTACTCGCTGCATTGGATGTGTTTCCGCCAAATGGAAGAGACAAGTATTCATTCCTGTGCTCTACCCTGAAAATGCCCATGCTGTTGTGATGTGTCCTTGCTGCTTTTTCTTTTTTTTGTTCTTTTTTTTTTGGACCATTTCTCGATTTATGTGTGTCATCCTTGCGCAGGGGCCATGCTAATCTTCTCTCTATCGTTCCTTTTTTAACGGATTTCCTGAAGTACAATGTGTCCTCGTCCCATTTCAGAGAAGAAAGCAACCCTGAGAGCCTGTAATGCTGCTGTCTCTTATACACATCTAGATGTGTATATTCCCTCCATCCGCTTCTCGCTCGGCAATTTCAAGCACTCTTTAACTCTCTTTTCAAAGTTCTTTTCATCCTTCCCTCGCGGTACTTCTTCGCTATCCTTCCCTTTTTAACGGATGTCCTGAAGGACAATGTGTCCTCGTTCCATTTCGGAGAAGAAAGCAACCCTGAGAGCCTGTAATGCTGAGGGCCACCAAAGCATCGGATTCAAAAGTTACCTCTGCCCTGCCTGAGGCGACAACACAGTCGCCGTCCACCCCTGCCCAGACGGGAATGCATGACTTCCCTCCATCCGCTTCTCGCTCGGMAATTTCAAGCACTCTTTAACTCTCTTTTCAAAGTTCTTTTCATCCTTCCCTCGCGGTACTTCTTCGCTATCGGTCCCTCGCACATATTTAGCCTTGGATGGGACTTTACCACCCAATTGGGGCTGCATTCCCAAGCAACCCGACTCTTGGACAACACCTCGTTGCGCAGCAGGGTCCGGCGGTCGACGGGGCTGTCACCCTCTTCTGCGTCCCCTACCAGGGAACCTGCACACGGCCCGCTGCAGAGGTTACCTCTCAAAACTACAATTCAGGGAGCAACAGAGCCCCCGGATTTTCAGTCTGGGCTATTCCCGGTTCGCTYGCCGCTACCAAGGGAATCCTGGCCAGAGTATTTAAAATGAGGGTCTGAAGACCCAAGTGCGTGTAGGTTATAATGTTCTGTACAAAATGCGGGAGGGCTAGGAGATGTTCTAGGATTAGGAGGCCAGATTTGCTGATATAGCATAGTCTTCTATAATTGTTTTACATACTAATCACCATCATCATTAGCATCATGATCACTAGTATCATTATCTCACAGTTTTGATAGAATCAGCAGAAAGTTCATCATTATCACCATCATCATCATCATCATCATCATCATCATCACCATCATCATACGAGGGACGCTGAGCCCGGTTCTCAGCATGATCGGTTTGGTTACTCCGGGTAGACTGTGAGGACCCCGGCCCCAATCTTCTTTATTGGTAATATCAGCCTTGGGCACTGGGCCCGCTTCCAAAAAAAAAAAAAAAAAAAGAAAGAATATGGGTAGTATACAACCTCTGCAGGCTGGTGCCAAAAAACAGCCCAAATGAGCTCCCCAAATCTGGGTGCAGGCTACTACAGGGTAAGAAAGATTTAATGCAGTTAGAAGATCCCGCACCCGTTTGTCACAAAAACCAGTGTCACACACCACGCTCGGTGACAGCAAGATTGACGACTTCAAAGCACAAAACGTAAGATATTGAATTAAAACAGTTTTCCATAAGTGCGGCTCCCCGACCAGTTTCGATCTCCGCCAGGTGATTGTCCTCAGGGGGGTTCTCCCACCAAATTGAATCTTACTTGCGTGCGTCCCACGCACCTCCACACGTATCCTCCTCACACCCTCCTCCGTCACTCTACCGGCATCCCGGAATGCCGGCTGTAATTTTGGTCCTGGAAAGAGCATTGCATGAGCTTCCAAGGAGTGAATTATCAGGACATGAAGGGCAGATGAGAATACAACCCCTTTTCCCAATCCTGGACCTAGAATGGCAACCGTGACAGGACAAGCAGGTTGTGATCTGGATTGCAGTAGACTGGAAAGCAGGACCAGTCCGCACACGTGTTAAAGGTACCATTGCCAGGTGGGGAAGCAAATGCTGGAAGGGAAATGGGAAGTATCGCAGGTAACAGTGTAGCTACGTGAGGGGACAGGAAATTGTAGACTGTTGTCATTTTTCCGGTTCACAGAGATAATTAATTGCGGGGGTAGAATGAAATGGAACATGCACAGCTGCAATGATGGGCATTGAAATGGGTAGAATCAGAGCATACTCGCAGTAGGATATTTTTGATGTATATCCCAGTGAAATCCAAAGATCAACTGAAAAAGTCCAAGGCTGAGCACCATCCTGCTCAGTCAATCCCCTGGATCCCAGGGTAATCAATGCTGGCAGGAACATTCCATAACTGTATCCTGATGTGCTCTGATTACACTCTGTATAAGGGACGCTGGACCCGCTTTCCAGCAGGTGATGCTCCCCACCAATAGATGGAGCCTCCCCCCAGGTGCTAGTGGTGTCTGCTCA